CGTTGCTGTCTGCAGAGGAGAGAGTTAGCAAGGGAGAAGGGACTGATGACGCATGGAAACAGACATACCGGAAGACACGACAACGCGAATGCACGGCCAACGAAGGCGAGCGAAGGCGAAGACGAGGAGTTAAGGCGAGAGATGAAGATCGGTGAGTGAAGTCCGACAGTTGGTGCTGTGAACTCTCACTTGCTTTTCGTTGCACGTATCCACTAAAGCAACATGGGCAACAATAGTCAGGAGTACAAACGGTCTTAGTCTCCAAGCGACAGTTCTTACGAACTGAGAATTGCAGATATGGATGAACTTGTTCAACTGCTGGAATGATTTACCACACCTCGATTCTGTTAAGTGTGTAGAGATTGACGTTCGATGTGCCACCCAACCCAAGCTGGCAATAACCAAGGAAGAACTTGACAAACTGTAATGCGACAAAAAAGAGTAGTGTTGACGGCGACAGAGGCGCTAGTCCGAAACAAACAAATCTCTATCTGAGAGTGCTCACATTAAGCGCTGGTCATATCGCTGTTAACTCTCAAACTTCCTCGCGCTTCGATAGGAAAAGCACGCATTATTTTAGTTCCATATTCGACAACTAATATCCTGTCAACCCGAGGTGCATCGTGTAGCCGTCGGAGAGCTGCACGTACTTCTTGCCTTTAGTCTTGCTGCTCGCGAGCTTCAGAAAATCGTCGAGCTGTTTCAAGGTGAACGGATGGTGCTCCCACGAAATGTATGCAGCTTTCGCCAACTTATGATCAGCCATTAGTGCCTTTGCCAGTTTTTGGCATCTTTTTTCTTCGTCAACTGAGAGAAATTAAAATTCCATCGTTCTTCAGCTAATACTCCATTCTCTTGATGCGCGCGTGGCAGCACACAAGCATTACTGCAGTTGACCTACTGTGGCGTGCTACGTAACGCATCAATACATGCTGGGTCGTGAGCGATACCATCATTGGTGATAATACGTCCACATCATTTAAAGATTGTTGGTGCATACTACCCTTTTTGGCGCTGAGCTTGAGTCCGAAAGCTACGACCAAATCAAAGAATTCCTCTAGCTTCGCCACATAGGTGCCTATATCGTCAGCGAATAGGAGGAGATCACTTATTCAAAAAAAAACTAAGAGAAGGTACAACAGTGACTGGAAACACTGCTCCATCGTATGCTGAAAATGCACGGTGGTGTCACAGTATCCCTGAGGAACTCGACGAGGAATGTATATTTTATTGTCAATTATGTATGACATGAGCTCTTGGCTAACTTACTCTAAATGCAGCTGACAAACGCCTTTGAATAGGTCGAATAGACCGTAGCATTTATTACCTCGTGTATGCTCGAGTAGAGTTGCCATATGCGGCATCGTGCTTATGGGCCCCCATTGAGCTGTTCACGGGTCTGCCATGCCAATCGATTCTGGCAAAAATTTACCACGCCAGCCGCAAAAAAAAAAACTGGTAATGGTACTGTGGAACTCGGCCGCTATAGCTGAGCTGCGCGACAGTCTGCGCACTATGCATGGTCCTATCGCTGATAAGCGACTAAAACAGCGCATTCTCAATAAAAAGAGAGAGAGAGTGGGGACCACCAAGTCACCTTTGATGTGTGCGATAACGTTTTGCGCTTTCGCGTTGACGATAAGAAGGGCAACAAGATGCCGGCACATCGTAACTACTGTTGCTACTAGCACGTCCAAATTCCATTATACGATTTCGTCAGTATTGTCCGATTTAGCAGCTTACGTCACCGCGACAAGTAGTGGACATAGTGGGCATAGCCAGGATGTCGACTTTTAGCGAGCCGTCGCCCTCGCCAAGACTAGGCAAATGCTTTCCATATTGGTAGAAAGAATCCGTGGTACGCATCGACATAACATCACGTGCTCGTCATTCGAAGCCGAGTTTATCAGAAATCAGCTCTGAGAGGGGTCACAACTGAGACCTTGGAAAGTCTGGTGTATCGTCAGATATTTCCATTAATTTCTTGATTTGAAATTTTCTTTCGAATCCCACTAAATATCAGGAATGTGCACCACACCAGCGCCCTAACATTATTAACTTCCTATAATTGGTAAAAAAAAAAAAAAAAAAAAAAAGTTCCACGGGCTGTATCAGCTAAGGGAGGTTCATCTCCATGTCAAAAGTCACACAATCTCACGTTACGAAGCGTTGCAAAATGAGAGGCACGTAATCACGGTATACAATGATCCGCAACGCTACAATGTAAATACCTATTTCCCGTAATCCCGGTATACAATGATGTCTCATGTACGCAACGCTACAATGTAAATACCTATTTCCCGTAATCCCGGTATACAATGATGTCTCATGTACGCAACGCTACAATGTAAATACCTATTTCCCGTAATCCCGGTATACAATGATGTCTCATGTACGCAACGCTACAATGTAAATAACCAGACATGGGCTATTTCCATACAGAAACAAGCCATCATTCCCTTTTAAATGTTAACGACATGCCCATTTGGAACCAAGCAAGTTCGGCCTGTGCTCGAAGTTCACCATGATATCAATTCGCACTTGAGTCGGCTGTGCAACGATCCAGCACGTCCGTGCTGAAGTCCGTCGCGAACTCGTTCAGCTAGCTCTACTCGAGTTCGTCGTAAACGCGTCATGCCCGTATTCGAGCCCACCGTGGACCCAACCTGCATGTTCACACCCGATTCTACTGTAAATCCACTCAGCTTGTCTGTACTCTGTCTGGACTTGAATGCGTCCCGCTGCTTCATATTTGGTTCGTCGTGATCCCGTCCAGTTTGTCCGTGTTCGAGTTCTTCGTGGTCGCGAGCTCGTCCTGCATGCCGTTACTTTAGTCCTTGTAATATCAGCATTCATTTCTGGACTCGAATCCACCGTGGCCGGCACGTCCGTACTTGAGTCTACACTGGGATTTTCCTTTTGGTTCGTGTTTGAAAACGCCGAGGGTCCGTCCAGCTTGCTAGCGCTTGAATTTGGCATGAGCTCATCTGGATGGTGCGAGGCGTTTCGTGAAAGTAAACATTCGCTCGCTATATTGTCAAACATCAACTGAAATCTCATTCCATTTAGCACATACTACGCTTACATATTTCCTATCTTTTTGAAGCATGTTGAACAGAGCGTTTAGAGAGACGTACTATCTTGACTGCAGCTGATCTCCGACGGTGTATTTGCTTAGACGACCTCGATACGTTCCCAACATTCCTTTCACCGTGCTTAGGTACCTTCGATAGTATGGATCCAGGGGAATCCAGGCGAGACAGATAATCCATTAGCTGGAAATCTTCAGTAAAGAACGCGACGCGTGAAAACGGATCTTCATCATGTTGATGCTGACTGTTATTGGAAAGTTCGTCGTTGCGATCCTTAACGTGAGCGTAATAGAAGTCATCATCACCAGCAGGTTGAGTACCGATATGGTCGAACAAAGAGTATTGACGCAAAGGAACGCCATCTTAAATGACGATCCACTTTTAAATAGTCAACCCTTGGCTAAACAACAAAGTGAAGGGCGAAATTGACTGCTAAATTGCTTGGTACGGATAGATTGTTACGACGGCAGATTTAACTTCCGGACACTTGGTCCAATTTAGTTGTGAATGAACTGGTTGCGAACTGCTAGTGGCATCGACAGCCGCGTTTAAGACCCTACTCAGCGTTCCCAACGCGGGACGGTAATCGGAATGCATGTAGAAACACCACTCGAGCGCCGACATCCATTCACCAGAACGGCAAAGTTAGCGTCAGTTTACATTGTAGTAGTCATTTGTACTGTACCTTTTTTTTTATTCTGGAACAGAATAGGAGAAAAAAACTTGGTGATACGCTAGTATCGAGCTACATCAATCGTCCCACTTAGTAAATATTGTGCACATTTCCAAGGTACATAATGTTTATGCGCATGCAAAGATTCAAAGCCCCAAGATGAGTCCAGGAGATGCGGAAGTGTTCCCGAGAATCATACGCCAAAGTATCTCTTCGTTTGAAGAGTAAGGAGGCGCAAAAACCACCAACGGTGTCATTTTACATTTGTTGTCTAACGCAAAAGCACTCAACTCTCCAAGTGTCGCGTACCATGCGTCTGACAAGCATTCTGTCTGTCACGGTGGTCGCCATTTGCCTCGCGGCCTGTAGCGCCGCTGGAGACTTCGACCAAGCGAAGCGCTTGATGAATGATTCACCCGTCCACTCACACGATTCAACCGCCAAAAGACTTCTTGATGACATATGTAGGTGTACGTGCTTGTCAAACCTTAATGTCATAGCGCTGTACTATAGTATCCACGAAACAATGGTATGAAGTCGTTCATAAGCAGGATTATAACAATATGTTTTACCATCCGTTTAATACTCTCTACAACAAAAAGCAAACACAATTCCACAGCCGCGTCCTTGGCATTCATCTAGTTTTCCTCTACGCCACCAAGTACTTGCGCGGAAATGTAATGGAGCGCTTGTCCAAACCTGTTTTACACGAATAAAAGTTTCGGGATCTATCTCTCCCGTGCTACTGCAACCAAATTGTGCAGAATGAAGTTTCAACCATACCCTCACACACTTAGCATATATCGGACATCAGATACAAAGAATTCATTAGCGGTGGTTTCGCTGCTACACGACCATGACCAAGACTCGATCCACCACGACAAACTTACCGGAAGACGACAGCTGCCGCGCAACCATGCCGATCTTCGCCCCGGAACTACCGCCGCGATTATCGAGTACTTTACATGCCTCGCTAGTCAAATGACGAAGAGAACACCGGAAGTACGAGGAAACCATCCGTAACCGGGCCAAGGGCGGTACGGATGACAAGATCGCCCCCATTAAGCTGCCATTCGATGAAAAATACTTCGGATGTTATGCCGCTTGGGCTGGTGGCTGTCAATCGACGACGTTGCGGACGAACTGATCCTAAATGAGATTGACATCGTCTTGAGTGTTAAGAGCAATAGTGCTCCAGTGGTGGATCGAGATATGCGTGAGATGCTGCGGGTGGACCTATCTGGGAGTGATGTTAGCGAGCGAGTAATACAGTATTTCAAGCTGTGCCATGATATCACGGTTATTCCTCACCGGAGAAGATAGCAAGCAACAATTGTGCCGTGTCCTCATTGTCTCGCTGGAGCCCCAGGCCCTGCAAGAAGACGTGGAACGTACAAAACGTTTCCAGGCTAACATGCTAAGTCCGACGAGATTGATTTGGTATTGGAGAAGGCACTCGATCAGGAAAAACCAATTAATATATGAAGCGCGCCAAGCGCGAATCAGCGACGTTGATTTGGGTAGTGTGCCAGCGCGCGGACAGAACAAAAATTCCAAAAAGCCTCGGCTAGATACTGAACGAAGCACTTCTGGCTCAAATCCAGCTACAAAAGCACCTACTGTGTGGGTTAAAGCGCCACCTACACCTTGCCTACATAGTAACGTGATGCACTGATTGGCTGAGTGCCCTACGGCCTAGGACAACCAGAAAGCCGAAATTCATCGTAAGCTCCGTGCACAGCGGTCCAGTGACGGGAGTAAGCTTAAAGCCCCTAGAACCCCCCCCCCCATTGTGCATGCCACTGTTGGCGACTATGCAGTAACATCTACGCACTACGTGCAACTCCAACTGCAACTAAAATAATGCCGCGGGGGCAATAGGGCTACAGAAGCCTGTCGACTGCCTCACTATCGATTGTGATGAGCCAGAATTTATTCTTGGTCAGGGACGTTCCCACGGCATTGGGTTTAGACGTTGACCAACAATTGGAGCAACTTGCGGTGCGAAATGAAGATGAAGACGAAGGTGAGATAGACCTCAGAGATGATCTTCCATTTCTCGCACCTAGTTCTACGGATGGAGAACCGCAAGCAGCCGCCGAACGGCTGATCGACGTGGCGCTGAATCATAGGTTTCCTAGCCACCTAGAGAAGCAGCTTCGCGCTATCGTGCGGAAGTACGAAATCTGGCACCTCAAACTGGGTGATGTTCCTTCTGCTAACGTGGAGCCGGTGAGGATTCGACTCAGGGAGGGTGCACGTGCCGTCAAACGCAAGCCCTGGCCATACCCGCCTGCGGCACGCGCATTCCTGCGCGAGTTTAACGACAAACTCGTTGAACTTGGTTGGGTGTATGAGACCCAGGTAGTCGTTGGGCAAGCACTGTACTGCCTGTGCGGATGCAAGGCATGAGCGGTGATGAGTACCCCTAGGCGTTCGAATACCGTCTAGTGAATTACCTTGTAGAGGCACTTGGTTGCCGAGTGAAGGTAACGCTGTGTGGTTAAGACTGAATTGTACAAGTGGTACTAAATAAACCTATCCCTTTGTTGAGATTTTGTACTCAAGTATCATAGTTCGGAACACCTGTAGGATGTCGCGGTTGACGCGCTATATCAAACCGCTAATCCATGGGCTGTAAGCCAGAGTGAAAGTCTGTTGACTTTTGAGTCTCTTGGAGAGCACAGCTACAACTTCACTTTGAAATGACTACCGTTATCACTGACCCATACTGGTGGGACACCGTAACAGCTATGCCAATCAAGTATCGCTACTGCTACTACCGCGCTATCCGCCGATCGCAAACCACTAGCAAAAGTGTGTGGCTTGATCTTTCACTTCAAACAGATATTTACTAGTACCGAAAGAATCACCTGTGAGCAAAATCTCCCAATGTAGGACACCGTTCCGCTCATCAAACCCAATCGTTCCACTCCACGGTCGATGTACCAGTCGCCCATCCTTCACGTGTGAACATACAAGTCACTATGAAAGCGTGTACGACACTTCGGAGGTTAGGTATGTGGAATACCGGCTTCCTTAAACTCGTGTGAGGAGCGAAGACATGAATGAGGTTGCGATGATCACAGTATAGACGGAATGGCTGCGCCTCATTAGCAGGTAGTCTAGTTTTTCACATACTACTACGATGGGGGAGGCTTCTTTTCAACCAGAGTCCAGTTCAGCTGTGTTCTCTTGAACGTGCCACTGAGGCACGTGAGCAGTTTGGGCTGCAGCGTAGTTACTGGTTCCCGTCGATCACATTCTACCACCCGGGTGACGATAACCGACCAGCCTCTATCTGATGCGTCGGAGCAAACAATAGCAGTAGCTCTATCCCTGGGTGTAACTTTTGTTTTAAAATTTTTTTAGACCGGCGCACTGTAACTCTTCAGTCTTCTGACCCGAAGCTAGCTCATGATAGTTAAGACATACGCATACTCTACAAGTTTAAGTGCTATAGTAAGTTTCACATGACACCAACATACCATATAACCTGACTCAGAGATAGAGCGATCGTGTTCCAATTTTACACTCTATTTTTTTTCCAAGTTGTCAAGTTCACTCATTACATGAACACTGAGTATCTCGCTAAATGGCGACGTATTTGTTGAACTTATACTGGGAGGACCGCATTAGCTGGCTGAACAGCCTAACCAATGTTATTGACGGAGACCCCCCCCCCCCCAGGGACTTTATTTCGCACTTGTCGCCTGAGGCCATGGCTCACCGGTTTTAGCTTAAACGAACACAATTGCTTGTAAAATTTCTGATTGGCGGTCTTCACAAAGGTGTCTGAAGGAGCGATGTGTCGAACATTAAATTTTGTTTTTGTTTTTGAATTTCACCTCGCCCTCCAAAAAAAAAAACTAACATAGGGCTACACGAAAGCTGGAATACCTTCTTGCAAAGCTATTTGTGTTCACCCGCAAAAGCGACGCTTGTGCGCAAGTACTAACGCATCTTCTGCGTCTACTTCGCAGCCGCTGCATCTGTGCGTCACAGTGAATACAAAAGCAATTTAGAAATGTATAAAGCGATCTTAACGAAGTCGAGCATTTAGTGTAACGTAGAGGAAGCTTGTGTTGCAGGATGCAAATTGGAAAGTGATATTAGTAAATTAAAAGTCTGCACTCTTTTGTGTCTAGACTATCTACT